CCCCCCCCCCCCCCCCATAGGTCAGTATACTCAGCCTGATGCAATCAGAGAAATGTTTGTACACAGCATATCGTGAACTCAACCCCTGCCACCCCCCAACCCACCCCTCTGGCAAGCCTCATCCCAGTCTGTTCGACCCCCCCTTCACCTGTCGTGTCCAGGGCGGGGGGCCACGTTTGAAGTCACCAGGCTTGCCGGATTAAGCCAGACCCGACCAGCAAATGGGATAATTACCCCCCCTGAAAACATGGCTGACCTTTGGAGAAGGAGGCCTCATCTCACATGTCCAGCTCCCCCACCCCGGACCTGCACTCTTGCCGGTGCCCACCGCCCACCGCCCCCCCTCCCCGCTCAGCCGCCTTATAAAGGGAACTTGTCTTCAGTGTGCAGCACGGTCCATCTCGGCTCCTCCTGTTCGCCCTGCTGTTAAAGCCACCCCCCACACCCCCCAATAAGTTCAACATATTGAGGAGGAGTAGCGGGAGCAGCCTGGGGAGCAGCAGGAGCAGCCTGGGGAGCAGCGGGAGCAGCCACAGCCTGGTTCTCACCGTGTGCCCTTAGACCACATCCTCACAGAAGCCTTTCGGCCCGGGCCAGGACCCCCCCTCCCCCCAGCTCTCTCCCCCCGCCGGCTGTCGCTTTGAACGGCATAACAGAGTGGAGCGTAAAGGAGTGTCTCTGAGCTGGAGCTAAATTAGGGGTTTCTGTGGTTATGAATCCATGGATGTATTTTCAGGGAAATTCGGTAATGGCACCAGAAGTGTTATTAATAATACATCCTCCCCCCTCCCATCTCAGCGGGGACCCCCAGAGCACGCCACCTTGGCTCAGTTGCTCTCGGCTGCCCTGCTGCTCTATGCGCTGCCCCCCCAGTAAAGGTCTTCAGATGTGGACGTGGCGGTTTTCACTGCGGCGTTTCCTGCTCTGAAGATCTTTCTGGAGTCCAGCTGGCTTTCGAATTCCGTGCTTTTTCTTCCCACGACAAAAGCCAGTGGTCTCATTTTGGTTTCTCATTATGAGAAAAGTCCTGTTTCTTGTTTACTCCCTGAGGACATTGTTCTATGGTTGGTGTTTTCCTCTGTTTTTGGGTGGCTGAGGTAGAAGCCTGGCTGCTGGACACCAGACCGGGGCATTCAACCTGTGCACTGTACATCCAGACCACCCAAAGCCTCCATGACCAAATTCTTTGGGTGATACTTTAAGAGTATTTCCATCCACCTTTTGTTCTGCTTATCCTGTACAGGGTGGCAGTTCGCTGGAGCCTCTCCCACAATGCACAGGGCAGGGAGGTGATAGTTCATTGCATGGAACATAGAGGGCAGTTTGGAGACACTCATTCCACTAACCTATGCAGAGACAGAGGAAACATTCAAACTCCACACAAGGAAGGGGGGGGGGCATCCTGAGGCCACTGCGCCACCTGTACAGCATATGTTTACATCCGAGTTGCCATGTTTTTG